CACAAGATTCATTTTCGTGTTTTCGATTCAACAATTTTTGTTTTTCCACATTAATCATATGTGATTAAATATATATAATCCACATTAATCATGTATGATTAAATACATGATAAAATTATTGAATCGACACAAATATAAATATTGCCCACATAAATCACATGTGATTAAAAACATAAAAAAAATTGTTGAAGAGAAAATGTGAAAATGAATCTTGTCAATATAAATCATATGTGATTAGATACATCATACATATAATGAGAACAACTAACGAATCAACAACGCGAAAATGCATGTTGTTCATATAAATCATATGTGATTAAAACATATAATCAAATGTGATTATATATGTCTAATCACATGTGATTTTTGTGGATAGTATACATTTTTCTGTTATTCTCGTGTATTTAATCATATGTGATTAAATGTATCTAATCACATATGATTTATTTAGACAAAAATGAATTGTATCCATATAAATCATATGTATACATATAATCATATGTGGTGGTGGTGGCTGGTGGTTAAATACATTTAATCAGACGTGATTTATATGTTTCTAATCACATATGATTTTATTTGGAAAAAACAAATATTTTCTATTCAATAGTTGTTCTCATGTAGTCTATCACATGTGATTATATGTATAATCGTATGTGATTAAGTACATGAGCACAATTATTGAATCGAGAAGGAAAAAATAAATCTTGTCCACCTCAAATCATATGTGGTTATATACATATAATCACATGTGATTAATTACACAAAAGCAATTATTCGATCGAAATCGCAAAAATAAATATTGTCTACATAAATCATATTTGATTAAATACATATAATCACATGTGACTATATGTATCCAATCATATATGATTTATATGGATGAGATACATTGTCACATTCTCGATTCAATAATTGTTCTTTGTCCACTGTAAGCATATGTGATTAAATACATATAATCATAATGATGTCTATATAATTTCATATGTGATTAGATACATATAATTACATATGATTATATACAAAAGAACAAATATTGAATCGAGAACACAAAGATAAATATTGACCACATATATCATATGTGATTAAATGCATATAATCACATGTGATTATATGTAGCTAATCATATAGAACTTATGTGGAAAATATTTATTTTCGCGTTCTCGATTCAGTTGTTGTTCTTGTGTGCTTAATTACATGAGATTATATGTATCTAATTAGATATGATTTATATGGACAATATTCATTTTCACATTCTTGTTCAATAGTTGTTCTTATACATTTAGTCACGTATGATTTCTGTACACAATATTCATTTTCACGTTTTTTATTAAATAGTTTTTCTTTTTCCACATTAATTATATGTGATTAATACATAAAATCACCTATGATTAAATACATAAGAAAAAATATTAAATCATGAATATTATCAATATAAATCATATGCATTTTGATACATATAATCACATGTGATTAAGTACATGAGTACAACTACTGAATTGAGAAAGAAATAATGAATC